TACCTACCTAAACTTAACTAATTTGTTTCCTTACAAGACAGTACTAATTAAATTAACTAAAGGTTAAAGTAAATAACGTAAGGTTAAAAGTTTAAGTTTAATTAACTTACTATGTCACAATAGACATATATATATATATATATATATATATATATACACATGTATTTTTTCTTTTGTGCAAACATGTCATAATATTAAATTAGTAGTTACTTTTGATTTATGAATCCTTAAGGAATACTTTTCTTGGAATAAGTAGATAAAGCATTTACAGTGTAATACAGAACTCATGTGCCATCAAGATTTCTCTAAGCCCTACCCTTAAAAATGCCACAGCTGTTCAACATGTGCACAGTTGATACATACAATTTCTCAAGTCAAGGGGCCCAGCATGGCCTGGTGGTTAGGACACTAGACTCGCAATCTGAGGGTCGTGGGTTTAAATCCCCTTCCCACCAAACATGCTCGCCCTTTCAGCCGTGGGGGCGTTATAATGTGACGGTCAATCCCACTATTCGTTGGTAAAAGAGCAACCCAAGAGTTGTCAATGGGTGGTGATGACTAGCTGCCTTCCCTCTAGTCTTACACTGCTAACTTAGGGATGGCTAGCCCAGATAGTCCTCGTGTTGCTTGGCATAAAATTCAAACCAAATTCAAGCCAAGGTGATTACACTTCCACATGTCCTTGTAAAATTAATAATATTCCCAAACAATATTATCTTAACATGAGAAAAAAAAAGGTATAAAATGAAAGTTAACACAAATATGACTTATAAAAACCATACTAGTCTTGTTACATAATTACTATAAGTTATAACTTGTGTAAAAACAGCATATGTGTGCAGTATTTAAAACAAAAATCATTTGTTCCTCTAAGTTTAATTAACATAAAGACTTTGATGGGTAGTTAATGTATTTACTTACTTATGCTGCTAGCGCTAGATTACTGCCTTAGAGCCCCCCAGTGGCACAGCGGTAAGTCTGCGGACTTACAACGCTAGAAACCGGGTTTCGATACCCGTGGTGGGCAGAGCACAGATAGCCCTTGTGTAGCTTTGTGCATAATTAAAAAAAACAAACAAACAAACAATACTGCCTTAGTATGTTAGTCTCATTCCAGACGTGCCTTAAGACTAAGTTCTAACTACTACTAGCACAGTGCTAGTACTATAGCCTAGGCTCTAACTCGTTTGTGTGAAAACGACGTAACTTTCAAGTTTAAATATATATAAACTTACAGATCGGTTTTCCAAATTTACAAAGCCACAACAACGTTATGTCAGAATCCGCAACAGTTAGAAAAAAACCAGAGGCTAAAATTATGAAGAATAAACCTAGAAAGATTATGTATTCTAACATTTTTAATGAACAAGCTCAGTATAATCCAGTGATAATAGTACGCCCTAAGCGAAGAAGACGTAATAAACTTAGCTCAAGCGGTGAATATACAGAAATCTACGCTTTGGAGCTGTATAGAGATTAGTTACTGGATGAACCTAATATTGCATTACAATTCTCAAAACTGAACAAACTCTTATACAAAGAGGTTAAACTCTTGTAGTATCAGATACAATTTTTAGAGAAACTAACCTTGAAAGTTCCCTAAATTTTCATTAAGATTATATTTTCAATGTTTTCAGTGTTGAATAATTTGTTCATGGGCAATATTTCACCGTTTCTCATTTACCACAAAATCCTGTGTCATTGTAATTTTGTCTTTGTAATTCTGTACAATTAAGTTATTGTT